ATGTCATTATTTTTTTGTCATGTTGTCTTCCATGTGGATTAATTTTTTGTCGTCTCATTATCTTACTGTAAATTAAAAGTACACATAATGAGATTTTTAATGGAATGACCAAGTTAGGGTAAAAATAATAAACAACAAGGATCAAATAAAAGATTTTTTGAGTTAAGAGACTTAATCAAGAGTCTATACAATAATTGAGGGACACAAAAAAAGGGGTTTAACCAACTGAAAAATAACGAACAAAAACTAGTCAAATTATCTGACTATAAATTCAACCGGTCCAATAGAAAATTAAAAAAATTGAATCGTAAGTTTTTCAATAAGCGGATAGATTTCTTTTTCTTTTCTCCCTTTTTCATCAATAAGCTAATAGCATTAAAATGTAAGGTTGGAACAAAAAACATAACTTTAAAAAAATCTAAAAACCAAGTATTTTGAAATAATATCAATTCAATATACTAGCAAATTTTTTACATTACATATACATTTTTTTTTGTACATTTGATAATAACTTACACATAAAGAGTTGCATAACTTCTTCTTTTTTTTTTCGAATTCTTCTTAACCTAATTTAATGTTTAAATTTAAAATTTTTAAAATTTTAACTTTTAATTAATTGAGTACCTTTCATGACTTTCCATTACATAATTTTTTAACAATATCTTGTTGAAGTATATTTTTTATGATCGGGAGATGATATCACTTCTTAGACAATTTCTTGCCAAACTACATTTTTCATGGTATTAATTAATGTTTTAAAATTTTGACTTTTCAATTAAAGAAATTAATTAGAAGGTTTCATTTAAGCAAGGAAAGTCATCCCTCTCACCTTTGAAAACATAATTACTTATTAATGTTATACGAATTGTATTAATATTTTTTTAAGTTTAGCTAACAAAAGCATCTAATCTAATAATAGAAATTGAGGTTGAAATTTTGCATGCGCATGTTTACATTCAAACTTTTTTATTCATTTAAATTTAAAATTTGCATTATGCTTGTAATTTTTTAATTGAGGGTTTATTTTAGACAATAAATAATTGATCCATTGATAATTTTACCAAAAAAAAAAAATCATCTTTATAGAATTGAAGTTCAATAATTAAACGTATGGAGCTTGAAATTTTAATTATTAAATATCAAAGTAATTTTGAAATCCAACTTTTTAAGTATTTGTATCACCTAAATTTCCCACGTTATAACACCAAAAGAAAAATAAAAATACTATAGTGATAATTGCACATATTATTACAAATTTAAAATATACCATATTATTATATAATTAAATTTTTTATTTAAAAATTTATTTAAAATATTATATATATTTATTTAATATCATATTATAATTATAAATTTATAAATTTATATAATATTATAAGAATAATATTGTGGAAAGAAAAATTCCCATCCTTAAAATCATTTTTTCCATTTTATTGGACCCAACCGATCGAATCAAACAAAGCCGAAAACCGGAAAAGACAAACAGGTGAAGGCGACCGGACCAGATGGCTCGTGTCACTGTCGCCGATACTCGATTCCGGACCTACACAGCTCCCACCCAGGTGCCAACGACCCTTCCTTAACGGAACCGTCTTAATCCGTCACGGTCCATCACGTTCCGTCAAACCACCCCGTCTGTCACTCTTCGACACCCTCCCTAACGTTTCCGTTCCGCCGCAATTCCAAACCCTAACGTCCCATTAATGGCGTCGTCCGTTGACGACGATTTCTCCGTTCTCGACGATGACCAAGCCAACCCTAATAACCATGTTATTCCCCAACCCTCTTACCCGCCGCTCCACGCGCCACCGGACAGCCAAGATGCTGAAGGCGAATCTGAATCCAACTTCCGCGGCGGAAACTTGGGGAATACCAATAACGCTGCAGATGCACGGATCGAGAAGAGGAAAGACCAAGATGAGTTAAACGACAGCGCTTCGAAGAGACCGAAGCAATCGGCAGAGTACAGGAAAGATCGAGAAGAATGGAACGATACGGCGATCGAGTGCTTGCTAGATGCTTACATGGAGAAGTTGACGCAGCTGAACAGAGGGAACCTGAGAGGAAGGGACTGGGAAGAGGTGGCGGCTGCGGTAAGTGAGAGATTGGAGAAGCAGAACAAGAGCGTGGAGCAGTGCAAAAACAAGGTCGACAATTTGAAGAAAAGGTACAAGCTGGAGAGGCATAGGATGAGCGATGGCGGTGCCTCAGTAAGCCACTGGCCGTGGTTCAAGAAGATGGACGACATTGTGGGGAATTCAGTGCCGGTGAAGGCAGCAGCAGATGAGGAAAAGCCCAGCGCTTCTCCAGGAAACTCAGTTAGGCAATTGAGGAGGTATGTTACATGCAAATTTGGAATTGTTTCTTGCTTGCTATGTCGGGAAATGGTGCCATTTTATCATTGCTTGAATTTAAACCAAATTTCTGTTATTTCTGCTGAAACTTACAAGTGCTCTGGTAATAGAAATCTGTTCACTATCCTTTTATCATGTTGCTCGGAACAGTTCAGGGCTATGGTTTTAAAATAAATACTGCGCATGAAGTTGCTAATTAGTCATTCATGAGAGAATAAGTAACAGGGTTGAGGGGGCCTATGAGCTGAGAAATAGTGATTCCTCACAAGTTTGCCAATGAGGGAACTTGAGTGAAGGTAAGGAACCAATGCCAGGACTTGATGCTGTGGATATCCAAAATAATAGGTCCTGCCTCCTGAGCTAAAGCTAGATGATTCTTGTTAACCAACTTGGTTAAGCACTTACAAACTAACTCAAAGAAAGCAACTTGGCTGTGCATATTTTCTGAAGTTTGCAAGTGTAAAATGACACAAGCTTCAGCCATTAAAGGAGATTGGACCCTACGAATAGAAGCCATTTCAGCACCAATGTTGCACAAATCATCCCTACAGACCACCACCAATGCAACCACACCAGACCCATTTGAAAAGTCTGCATTTTTATTGAATCTCAACAGAAGGGGGAGATCATTTCGTCATGAAACTATACCTTTCAGTGCTTTTAGGCACCAATTGAGGAGAATTAAGCATATCCCTGCTTGGGTCTGAGCAATACTGTTGAAACATGTCAGACGTCTTCCTTTGTTTTCTCTCTCTCCTTCTCTCTCCCTCCCCCTCTCCCTCTCTTCGTAAGATTCAGCCTGATTCCCAAGCTCAAAATTATCTATATTGTAACCAAAACATTCTCATCTTCCTACCATTGTGGCTCTTGAATACAAGTAGGCTAAAAAAGTGCAGATCACTCCAACTCTTTCTTCGCCAATTTATCAGTTTTTACAAAATTCCAAATTTGGGTGGTTATGGTTGTTTTGATGGCATCGAGAGCTGCTTTCTGGTTTTATATTTATGTTGATATTAATAGGATGGGGTAATAAAAGTTTTTGTGGATTAATCTTTATTTTGAAGTTTTATAAAATATGCTCTTTCTTTATGGCCATAACTCTTAATATTCTCAACCATTAGGCTTGTGTGTATAATTTCATGCTTTAGAATGTAAGCCTATGACATCTCCGTGTGTAAAATATTGATTATTTTGTACATTATTCTTCTGTTTATATTGTAAGTAGAGAATAATAAGATCGTTCTGAGTTTCTGATACCCTTATTTGTACTTGTTAGCAGGAGTACTTCAACTACACAGACTCCTGTCAGCCAGGTAGCTAACGTGAAGTCAAAAAGCCCTAAATGGAGAAGAGTCATATTCAAAATAAGTGGCGCTGCTCTTGCTTGCGGTGGTCCTAACAATGTTGATCCAAAGGTTTTCTGACACCATTAGATAGTCAAAAACTAGGATGGCACTAGTATCATTCTTTGCTCTTCAGTGAGTTGTTTCTTCTTGATTATCAGGTGACAATGCTGATTGCAAAGGAAGTTGCAGTTGCTTGCAGCCTTGGTGTACAGGTAAATTTTGCTTCGTAGTTACCTTTTGTGATCAGAGACTTTTCCATTTTCTCAAGTTTGGTGTGCAATATGCTTTCCCTCTTGTGTGACACCAGGTGGCAATAGTTGTTGGATGTCGTAATTTCTTTTGTGGAGACACATGGGTGACTGCAACTGGATTAGATAGAAGTGCTGCATACCAAATTGGGTAATAGTATGATTCTCATAACTTGGAATGTAATATACTGTCGCCTTCTCAAATTATCTTGTGTTCCAGTTTGAATTTTGTTTAATGCCAGCTAAGCTGAAGACTGGTCCAGTTTTGTACATCAGTCTTATAAATTGATTACCATAGACTTTTGTTCCTGCAATATTACTAATGTTATCATTTACCAAATAATCTACCATGTGATCTTGTCTGGCTATGTCCAGGAAGAACTTAAATTTAGCTGTTAACTGCTCTGATGATTTTAATCTGATTGTTTGTTATATACAAAAGTGAAGAATAGAAGTTTTAAAGGTTTATGGGGGAAAGATCCTAGTTAATGGATCTTTTTATTATTTGACAAAAGTTAACTTTCAGTATTCTTGAGCTTTCAATTATTTGGTGTAATGGGTTTCCTGTGTTTGCTAATATTCAAGAAACTTATATATGAGATGGCATGATGGGCTGTGGTATTAATGGAGGGACAAATTGAATGCGGGACTTAAACTGAATAATTCATATCACAGGGTTGACTATCCAAATTTGTTGCTTATGAATATGAATTTATCCCTGAAAAATCTTTCAGATATGCTTGTTACAGTTTTAGTTCCTTTAGTTGCAGCATCTTGATTGTGTAGCTGTCTAATTAGTGTGATTATGCACTTATGTGGTAGCCATTAATCATGAATTTGACTCTGTAATTCATTACAGAATGATAGCGTCTGTAATGAATGCCATACTGCTGCAATCATCACTCGAGAAAATGGGTGTTCAAACCCGTGTGCAAACTGTATTTCCTGTGCAAGAAGTTGCTGAACCATACAATCGGCAGCGGGCCATCTGGCATCTTGAAAAAGGAAGAGTTGTGATTTTTGGCGGCATTGGGGCTGGCACTGGAAATCCATTGTTTTCCACTGACACAGCTGCAGCTCTTCGAGCCTCAGAGAGTATGGCCCTTATCATTTGTAGTTCAATATCTGGACTAAGATAGTAACTCTTCTTTGTCCTTTTCCCTCTCCCCCTATATCTCTACGCAACAAATACAAACACATTGATTTTCTTCGCAATTCTGACATGTATCCTTTTTTTTCCTTCAGTTAACGCTGAGGCAGTTCTTAAGGGGACCAATGTTGACGGTGTTTACGACTGCCACTCCCAAGACAATAACGC